CATACGTGGCTAACCTTCTACGAAAGGCTAACCAAGTAATGAAGGAGAATTTTGGGGGTATATAGCATTTCCAAATAAAGGACATCCAAGGGTGGATGCTACCTTTGGTTCTTAGTAACTCATATACTTTTGAGGAGGAGAGTTTCCCATTTTGGGAGAACTTTCCAAGGCAGTCCACTGCCGAATCTAAGGAAGGAAATTTTGATACAATCAAGTCACGGACGTTCCCAATTGCTTTCATAAGTCTAGAATCCTTTTGGTGTGGAACAAAAGTCCACACCTCCCTACCATGAAGGTAAACCCCATGAACCCACTTTACCCACAAAGAGTCTTGTTTAGAGTGGATGTTCCATAGTGTTCGGGACATTAAGGCATTATTCCACACCTTAGTATCCCTTAAACCCAACCCCCCTTCATTTTTTGGTAGACACACATCACACCAAGCAACTTTAGCCTGTTTACCACCCCAAAGGAAGAGTCTACAAAGAGAGGTTATCCTATCCAGGATGGTCCTCGGCAAAGGGAAAATACCAAGCCAAAAGGCTTGGACACCTTGCAAGACCGAAGTAATCAACTCAACCTTTCCAGCATAAGATAGAGTTTTTGGGTTCCAAGCATTTAAGTAATCTGTAACCTTGTCAATCAAAGGAGAAAACTAGGCTACCGATATACTTAGAGGAGCAAGTGGAATACCCAAATATCTCACAGGGAAGGATCCTTGTTGAAAGCCCACTCTTTCAAGAATATATGGTATCCTATTTTCCATATTACCCCCAAGAAAAATATTGGTTTTATCAAGGTTTACCATCAGTTCAGAAACTTTACCAAAATCTGTTAATGCATCAACTAAAATCTTAATTGATGCATAATTTCCCTTAGAAAATAACATCAGATCATCTGCATAAGCCAAATGTGTTATTTTGAGCTTGGAGCATAAAGTATGATAATGTAAATTAGGATTTGAAGTCCTAACTACTAACAGCCTTGAATTATACTCCAAGCAAATAACAAACAACAAGGGTGACATGGGATCCCCCTGCCTTAACCCCCTCTTTCCCTCAAACCAGCCATGGAGTGAACCATTTATGGATATTGAAAAAGAAGAGGTTGATACACATTCCATGATCCATTTAACAAATAAGTAGGGGATCCCAATATCCAATAATACTTTCTCAAGAAATTCCCATGAAACCGTATCATATGCTTTCTTAAGATCAATTTTAATCATACATCTAGGCGAAGGCCTTTTTCTAGTATATCCCCTCACTAACTCTTGTGCCAAGACGATGTTGTCCGACATCAGTCTCCCATCAACAAAAGCTCCTTGTAAGAGCTTGATATTCCCAGAAAGACAAGGCCCCAACCGTGATGCTAAAATTTTGGTGAAGATCGTATAAGTGACATTAGTGCAAGAAATTGGTCTAAAATCCGACACCGTGGGGGAGTGGTTTGTCTTAGGGATAAGAGATACCACAGTGTGGTTCACTTGTTTAAGCAAAGTCCCTGAGGTAAAATCTCCTTCACAGCTTCACAAACATCAACTCCCACAAGATTCCAATTATTTTTGAAAAATGCGGATGAAAAGCCATCCGGACCAGGGGCTTTGTCATCACCAATGTCAAACACAGCCTCCTTAGTTTCTTTACTAGTCACAGGGCTAATAAGGTCATTAATGAGTGACTGGTCAATGATCTTACCAGAAGTGACCACCCCCGGGTCATAGTCCTGCATGGGTAAACTTGTACCAAAAAGTCCTTTAAAGAAAGAAATAAACTCATTTGCTACATGATCCAAAGATTTGGTAAGACTTCCATCTTCCAATCTTAAGGAAGCAATAGAGTTTTGTGCATTCTTCTTCTTCATAATGGAATGAAAATACTTAGTACATTTGTCAGATTGCAAAATATGATTCACCTTAGCCTTTTGTTTAACATAGGCTTCCTCAGATTCTTTTAAGAAAAGAGCTTTCTTTCTTGCACTTAACAATTCCTCTTTAAGGCTTTCATCCAAAGGAGATAAGAGAGCTAATTGATAGATTCTTTTATACTCCTTTTTAGACACCTTTGCCCTAGCCGTGATGTGACTAAATTCATCTTTGTTTAGTTGTTTGAGGGGTTGTTTTAGAAGTTTCAGTTTGCGTGCCAGCCTAAACTGAGCCGTACCAACAACATCTCTATTCCAAACACTCTCCAAAATGGTATGAAACCTTTCATGCTTTAGCCACATATTAAAAAATTTGAAGGGTTTAGACCCTAAACAGTTCACGGCTCCAATGGTCACCAAAGACGCAACATGATCAAACTCACATTCCATTTCAAAGAAATGAGCCTTACATGTTACATTTTGTTGACACCAAAAGGAATCGATAAGTACTCTATCCAATTTAGCCCAGGTCATACCTCTATTCCAAGTGAAGGTTTCACCGGTAGAAGGAGCATCACAAAGGTTAGATTGGATTTTCATATCATTAAGATGTTGCATTGCATAGGCCGAAGGAGGGGCCGAACCCCTCCTCTCACAAGGAGAGCCTACACAATTAAAATCACCCAATACAAGCCATGGTAAAAGAATATTTTGACTTAACCCGGTTATATGTTCCCACAATTCCCTCCTTTGCACAATAGTATATAATGCATAAAAAAAAGTGACATAGAAATGCATTTGTGTAACCTTACAAGTAAATCTCGCATGGATATGTTGTTTATCCACTTGTAAAATTACACCATCAACAAAATTGGGATCCCATATGATATCCATACGTCCCCCCTTCATCTTATCAAAATTGGTTATATATTTCCAAGAGTTAAATCTAAAGTTTACAAAGCTATCAAAATTAGTAGAAGACATCTTAGTTTCAAGTAGGCAAAATATACGCACCTTATTTGTCCTTGCAAATGAAGAAACTATGTTTTGTTTTGAGGCTTGGTTAAGCCCCCTTATGTTCCATGATGCTAAAAACATAAAATTAATTATGTGCCGAGACTCCCCTCCTCTTGTGAGACCTCACCTTGTCCCTCTCTTCTTGCCTCCATTGCCGGATCTCGTCACACCCTTTGTACCTATCAACGAAATAATTGATAACTCGTTGTTATAAAGTAGGAAGAGAAAACATACCTTTCATCCATGCATGACACCCCGGGGAGAGATCTTAAGCATGAGGTGGTGAAGATGATCCCTTTCCTTGCTATATTCCACTCAATGTCAAGGTAATTATCAAGTCTTGTCATTTGCTCCTTCACAAGTTCCCCATGCATCAAATGGATGTTGACCTTACCGTCTTCTTCAAACTCTACTTTTGTGATAACATCATCCATAAATGCCTCCCTAATGTCTTGGACCACATGGCTTTCCTTCCCTTTGAATTTCCTCATGTCCTTAACCTTATTTCCATTGCCCGTTAGATGCCCATCTTCGTAGTACCCATTAAGGTAGTGTTTATAAACACTCCTCATAAACTCCGTTGTGTAGGCATACCCTCTCTTTCTCTTGTGTACTCCCGGAAGCTCTTCAAAGCATTTTTGGGTAAACCACACCCCGGGTTCATTGTCTTGAGCCAATTTCAAAGAGTGGTCAATTCAGACTTTAGGTTCACTAACCTCTTTGATGTTCTTCACTTGATATGTAGGTTCACTATATTCGTCCCTTTGCATGTCAATGATGACTTCATCATCATAGATATCCATGAAACCTTTGATCTTCCTTGGGGTACATCCTTCCTCCTCATCATTAGAAGATGATTCATATCCGGATGCCTCCTTCGCTTTCTCCTTTGATTTAACAATATTCTTCTTTCTTTCATCCATTTTCTTTAGTCTTCTTCTCTTAAGAAAGGGGTGAAGTTCCTTCCCTTTCTCTATCACGGGTACCCCTTCCACACTTTTGGTAGATGTCTCGGCAAGAGCCTTTTTGTACAAGTCAAGCTTCCTATATGCTGCCTTCCCTTTAGGTTGATGTTGGATAGTGGATGCCACGGCATTAGACATGGATGTCGCGGCATTAGGTAGTGTTGCAGCATTAGGCATGGATGCCGCGGCTAAAGGCAATTCCGCGGCTATAGGATCACTTGATGGAAGCTTTGGTTGCCCTCCACCTTCCTCAAGAGCTTTAAGCTTTTCCTCTCTTTCTTTCCTTTCTATCTCGGCCAAAGCTTTACAAGTAAACGCATGATGACCATAGGTTTTACAATGAAAACAATAATTTGGGAAAGTTTCATATATCAATTTTTGGATATGAAACTTCCCATTTGGCATTTTCACCTTAAGCCGTAGGGGGGGTGGCTTAGAAGCATCCACCTGAATAAGAACTCTCGCATAGTTGGATCTTGCTTTCTCTTGGGTTATTCTATCCGTTGTCAAAGGAACACCAACTCTAGATGCAATATCGCTTATGATGTCCTCTTGCCATGCTTGCATAGGAAGATAGGGAAATTTGACCCAAATTGGTACCTTTAAGAATTCCTCACAATCAAAAGTACAGTTCTCGGAAAAAACTTTCAAATAAAGTGATTTACCGAAAAGAGTATAAGGGCCTTCCATCAAAACCTTGCTTCTTGCCTCCTTATTTTTGAACTTAAATATCACCCAACCTTAATCATGTTGTCTAAATTTTCATTGAACTCCCCACTTAGCCACCATTTCTTGTATAGGTTTCCATCCGGGAAATCTGCCCGCAAAGTAGCCCACTAGACAAAATCCCCAAAGTTCAACTATTGAGGGCATACACTAGTGGGAAAAACACATTCTATAACGGTTAAAATCAACATTCTAGAACGGTTCGGGAACCGACATTGTTCCAATGGTTATAGAAACTCGGGCGCTTTCCATATCGGTTGTCGCAACCGTTATAGAATTTATTCTATGTCGGCTGAAATCCAACCGTTATCGAATGTCCTTCACACACGTTGTCTTTGTACAGCACATTCCGTATGGGTTCCGCAATGTAACCGTTATTAAATACGTTCAATGTCAGTCAAATATCAACCGTTATTGAAAGGTTTGTCAGCTTGCATTACATTTTAAACATATTATATTTATGAATGCTGTTTTTACAAAACCATTATTTAATAATATTCACAAAACAACCATAATATCCAAAAATCATATATAGTATTAATCTTACTAGCAAAAATTAAACATCATTTTACACCATCAAAATTCAAGAGTTGGCAAGTTGCAACAAAATTGCATATCACTTTCTAATATGCTAACAATGTTTAATTTCTACTAAATAAATACTAAATGCTAGTTGCTTCGCAGAAAAATAATGCCCAACGCTCTCGAATCTCGTTGATGTCTTGTTCACTAAATGGGTCTTGAACATTGAATATCTACAAGATCAATAAAACAATAAACCAATAAGTAAAAATTAAGTAAAAGAAATAAAGACAAAAATATAGTGAAACATGAGTAATAATTTATTACCTCCATCCACGAATCCACAACACTGGCAGAAATAATAGTAGTCATGTGTCTCATAACATAATATCCACATTCAAAACTTCCTCTTTGCATTCGAGACTGCAAATAAATAAGGCATCAAGTCAATATATATTATACAGTACACAATTGAAAATTCCATCATTACCCAACATGGTCCAAAAATAACAGATACAAAGTCTTGATTAAATCAACTGAAATTCAAAACAATAAAGAACGAACTGAAATATCAATAAAGTACAAATAAACTACATTACTAATAAGGTGCAATATCAATCAGAGCTTATTCAATAAGTTGCTGCAAACTGAAATGAACACATTGCAGCCTTGATAAAAAAATTCAATAAACTAGAAGCTGAAATGTTTTTTTTTTGCACAAGACATAGTAGCATTGATTTTATCCCTTCAAATAACACAATATAATCAAACAACTATAAGGTGCAAACTGAAATAATAAACTGCAATCCGATTGAACACTTGACTCATAAAATCAACAAAGTCAAAGCTGAAATGTAATTTTTTATACAAACAGGGCACTATCTATCATAACATAAACATAAAAATTATAAACATCTTATAGTACTTGAAGATAAATAAAAACATCATTTACCATTGGCTTAATCCATTTCGGCTTGGAATTCCTTTTATTTTTTGTCATTTGATGTGCTTGCATCGCCCTAATGAAAACAAAGGTTAGTGAAGTTATAGGTTATGTAAACATTACATAAATTCACCAATTTAATATTACTAAAATTATGTCTTACAAATCTAGAGTACTCTTTATGTTTGCCTTTGGTTTGTTCCCCAAAGAGCATAAGAACACCATTAAGTTTTTCCTCGGGCACAATACAAACAACTGCCAATGGTTACTGCAATGAAATACGGTAACAACTTGAATTATATTTAATCCAAAATGATTAGGTATGGCTGACCTAATATCGGACAGCTTAAATTGTAGGAGTACACCTGGGTAAAAATGAAAAGTACATAATAAAATAAAAAATCTTACGGATAGTAGTATGGTAGTAAGTAGCACTCTTTGTTTCCTTCACTCAGTTGAGTCATTATATAAGTTTGAATATCTTCACGCTTGTTCCCCACATCTTGAGTGGTATGTGGGTCAAGAAAACCGTACAGGTGTGCAGTATCCTTTCGAACACAAATCCCATGCAAATGCCTGTAAAGTTAATCATAATAAATATATAACAAAAAGTTTTAGAAACTTCTATCTTCCATAAAAGATTAATAACATAACTACAATGAGAAAAAACAAAAAATTCATCTTACATTATCCATACTTTTAGAATCACTGCACTTAGCATTTGATTCCCCACACATATCTCTAATATCTCCTCAGAGCCAACAAAAAGAGATATAGCAGACCGCCCAACTATTTCTTCTTTCAGGATTAGCTCTATCGGTTGTGGACCAAGGTGAGTAGTCATTGTCAATAAACGTTATATTGGACCCTTGTTCTCATCAGAAGCATTGTCCTCATCATGGTTGTCATTATCCTACACAAACAAAAATGGGGATGGAAGATATATGTTGACACTATTACAGTTAATTTTTTATTATTATTTTACTATGTTGATTTATTACATATCCTAAAATAAAAGAGTTGTTTTTCATTAACAAGTGTTGGTATTTATTTATCACCTTTCCATTTGTCCACTCCTTTACGTGAGGGTCAACCAATCTTTTTGGCCATTGAATGAACTGATTGGGGACCTGTCCAACTGTCTGGACCTCTTCACTTGGAATTGGGACCAATGCAGATGCATCCAAAACCTCCACAACCTCCACCCTAACAATACCTGAATCTATTCTCTCATGGTGTATAGTAGGACCCAAATTGTGTACCTGATTAAGATTTCAGAATTTATGTCATTTGGAAGTTCTGCTACGTAGAATTTATTTCAGAATTTTTATAACATAACTAGAATACCTTTCCCATGGCTTGTGACACCTCACAAACTTTAAAAAAATGATGAATATATTGAATTTACGATAGGTGACTCTATCACTATCAAATAACATATTAATACACAAAATACTAAAAGTAACTTTTAGTAATACATACTTTCATATGTGCGTATGACACATAGGAATAACAACAACAACACATATTACGTAGTAATAACAATGAATAATAATGGCATACATACTAATCATACATACATAATACACCCATATATGCATGGAATGAATTACACACATACATACATCATAACATATATACACCCCATACTTGTAAAGCTATAACGTATGCAATACGGAGTAATAATACTTGGACCAGGCGGGGTGTAATGATATTAATTGGCATTAAAATCAAATAATAAAAAAAAAAACAAAACCAGCGGGGAGTCATCCGTTACTTGGACCGAGCTGCAGCTTATAACGGAAGAATGGGAACCATCAAGGTGATACCTGCGTTTTTTTCATTCCCAAGCTGCAACTATAAACTTACGTGTATATATATATATAATCCAAAATCCAACCCAGCAAAATACTAAAAACCAACCCGTTAGAACACTTCTAAAACTTTCCCCTTCGTGAGAGGAATCCAACGGAGGAAGAATCATTGAAAACGGTCGTGAAACGAGGGAGAAAACGCTCGCCGGAGTTTTCGTCGGAAAACTTTCCCGACAGAAAACGGAGGAGCAGGAGCCGCCGTCGCCGCCGCCAACCCTTCACCGGCCTTCGCCGTCCCGAGAGGAGTGCACCGCTACCCCGTTGGCCGTTTCCGACGAGGTAAGCCTCTTCCCCGTTTTTTCTTTTCCCTCCCCGTTTTTCCGGCGTTTCACTGGGGAAGAAGACCCAGTCACCCAGCCAAATGTCTTGTGGGCCTGATTCTTTGGGCCAGAAGAATTAAATTTGGGCCAGTTCGGCCCAGTTGCAATAAAAATTAAAAATAAAATAGTAAATGAAATAAATAAAATCTGGAAAAATATAAATTAAATACCTGGTGTGATTATACATATTCGGACCAACCAGAATTGAAAACTAATATTTTTAGCTATTTTTAATTGATTTAATGGTAATTGGGCCAATTTGTACACAATTAGTAAATAAATAAGTAAATGGCGAAATTAATTATGAAATAAATATTGGAGTAAACTAGGATAAATATAAGACTAACTAAGAAATTATGGACCATTTATAATTAATAAAAATTAATATTAGTATATTTAATTGTAAATGGACCGGTTATTTGATATACGAAAATAAAGGAATAATTAAGGAAAATGAATTATAAAATAAATATTTGGACAACGTAAGCCAAATGTAGAACCAAAATATATTTATGGACGGTTATTAATTTATAAAGTCGACTCTTGGCTATTTTATTAAATTGGACCATATAAAACTAATTAAGTAATTAAATAATGAAATTTTTTTATGATGAAATGAATTTATAGTTTAACAATCATTAAAGAATATTATATTAAAATAATTATTTGGACTTGGTATCATAATTAGATTAAATAAGTTGGTAGATTTTGTTTTCACTAATTATTGGACTAATTAAGGTAGAGTAAAATAAAATTTGCATAATTACGGACTTTAAAATATTAAGTATTTAAGTAATTAATAAAATCAAAATATGTTAGCTAATTCGGATTTATTAATGCTAATAATGTTAATATGAACTAATTTCGATATTTGATTAGTGAGATTAAAAATAATTCGGATATAATATTAAGACATACCAAATGCTTTAGGAGTTGAGTAAATAAAAAGGTGATTATTAAATTAAAAATTTGATATTGTAATTAATTAGATTCGTATATTTTAGAATTCAATTATTATAATTAACGACTGAATTAATAAGGTAATTTAGTTAATAAAAAGTGATTAACGCGGATAATAAAATAATTGAATTAGTGAATTCGAAGAATGAAATAAAAGGTGAAAATCGAGTAAAATAATTATTAAAGAGTAAGTGACTAATTATATCATCTTAATTAAAAAGGTGATTATTTAGAGACCGGAGTAGAAGAAGAGAATTAGGAGCACCCGGACTAGAGGTAAGTTTCTCTGCCAATCTAAAATTGTTTCCTCGTATTATATGCTTATTATGCATTATGTGAATAAGTGTGAATTGTTGAATTTTGTGTATTTGATTTTACAAGAGATATTATATATATGGTAGTTGAGAAATATAAATTAAGTACTTTTGGGGTATTTAATATTTTTAAATACCTTCAAGACTTTTTAGAGAAATTGAGAAGTATTTTTGAAGTATTATTTATTGAAGATAAAATTTACATTTTTATAAGAGGTGAGCATCACGGGAGAAATCCGTGGTGTCGGTTTTCCACGTCCGGATAAATGTGGAGGGTGATTAGGTCTGCTACTACTAAGAAGTACAGTTTGAGTTTAAAGTGATATTTGGATCGATGATCCCTTTTAAGAAGAAGTTATGGTAGTAGTAGTCCCTAGTCATTCAAAATATCTTATTCATGGGTAGTTGGTAGACTGAGTCCCGACTACTCGTCACGACTTACTACTCGGAGGGCTTGGAATCCCTTTTAGGGGGTGTGCACACTTAAGGTAGTCGTTTCGTTTCTAACAGAGCAGTTGTGGTACCGGCACTTGTTCGGGGTGGCCGTCCGTAACCACGGTCCACCGGGCTCTACCGAAAGGTTGAGCACTGCCCTTCTAAATTACTAGGAAGTTAGAGAAGAAGTGATTTTGAGAAAATCAAAGAGAAGAGTTATTATGAGGTTTTAAAGAGAAGTTGAGGATTTTTGTAAAGAAGTAGTCTTGAGAAAAATCAAAGTGAAAAGAATTTCGATGGTGTGAGTATTTTTATATATCATTATATAAAAATATATTTTTGTCAAACATGATTATTTTACGGGGTTGGGTAGTACTTACTTAGCTATAAAGCTAATTTTTGTTTTCTTTTCTTTGTTTTGTTTCTGCACTTTATTTGTGCAGGTGAGGATGATTTTGTCGATTGTTGATTGCTTGCATGGCCCGAGAGCGAATTAGAAGTCACCTTAGTTATACTAGTCATGAAATAAATATTTACTTTACAAACACTTATTTTTATTAAATTAGTTGTTATGTTTTAGTTGCCTGTGCGTCCGGTTGAGAGATGACCGGATGTGGCGGTAACACCCATTTCCCTATTTTAGACTTCCGCTGTATTTCTTTAAATTTTCATTATCAATAAATAAAAGTTTTATTGTAATTATATCAACGTTTTGGGTGGGAAATTTGGGGGTGTTACAAATTGGTATCAGAGCCTTTGGTTTTCCCGAAAGGACTAGAACACGAGGTAATAGGTCGTAGGGAGAAATTCTGTCACAAAGACGATAACAGTCTAAGCTGGTTGGTGCATAATTGAGTCTTTGCGCTCGTCCAACCAACTGGGAATTTCTCCTTGTGCTGAAACTTCGTTGTTCGAAATCTTTGACGAAAACTATGGGTTTGATGCGGGATTTTCAAAAATGTTTTCCTAAAAGTAGGAGAATGAATATACTAGGAAAAAAAACCTATTAGGAACGTGGTGAGAATGTGAGGTTTTAACGATATGGATCTATATTATTGAGTTGTGAAGTTCATAAAGTTATTTGCTTATATATGAAGTATGTCAAATTAGATAGCGTATGAAATAGAACTTGAGTATGACCTTAGTGTAGGACTTATATGTTTAAGATAGCGTAGAGACCTTACAATGCTTTGTACTTAAGAGAGTGTTGAGATTAGAAGTAAGGTAGTCAAAATAGTGAATGTCTTATGGTCAAATTGTTTGACCAAAAACCCCACTTGGGAGACTGAGGATGATATGCGCAAACGCTACCCTGAGTTATTTGACTAAGGTAACATTTTGGTTACGGGAACGTAACCCCTCTTTTAAGGGGGGTAGAATGTAATACTTAAGAAATTTGACGTTGTTTATGCTTCGAGACGAAGCATCTTTTAAGGGGGATAGAATGTGACACCTCACAAACTTAAAAAAAAATGATGAATATATTGAATTTACGATAGGTGACTCTATCACTATCAAATAACATATTAATACACAAAATACTAAAAGTAACTTTTAGTAATACATACTTTCATATGTGCGTATGACACATAGGAATAACAACAACAACACATATTACGTAGTAATAACAATGAATAATAATGGCATACATACTAATCATACATACATAATACACCCATATATGCATGGAATGAATTACACACATACATACATCATAACATATATACACCCCATACTTGTAAAGCTATAACGTATGCAATACGGAGTAATAATACTTGGACCAGGCGGGGTGTAATGATATTAATTGGCATTAAAATCAAATAATAAAAAAAAAACAAAACCAGCGGGGAGTCATCCGTTACTTGGACCGAGCTGCAGCTTATAACGGAAGAATGGGAACCATCAAGGTGATACCTGCGTTTTTTTCATTCCCAAGCTGCAACTATAAACTTACGTGTATATATATATATATATGTATATAATCCAAAATCCAACCCAGCGAAATACTAA